CAAACACACACTAAATCCGTGTAAAGACACACACACTAAATCCCTCTAACCACACACCAGGCACACAGTAAATGCGTGCAAATACACACGGAATCTGTGCAAATACACACACTACATCCCTGTAATTAGACACCAAATACTGCGTGCAAATACTCACGATCCGTGCAAATCCATGCAAATACACACTAAATTCGTGCAACTACACAGGACGTGAGTGCAAATACGCACCAAAACCGTGCAAATACACACGGAATCCGTGCAAATACATCTAAATCCGTGAATCCGTGCAAATACATACTAAATCCGTGCAAATACACACTGAATCCGTGCAAATACACACTAAATCCGTGCAAACACACAAATCCGTGCAAATACACACTAAATCCGTAAATACGCATTAAAAAAATAGGCTTCAATAAAGGCTTGGCTAATAAAGCTTTTCATGGGGCTCAATTGAGCAGTTGCTGAGTCATGCAATTATAATTCTTCCCCCTAAACCCTCAATCTATAGACCCTAAACCTTCCCCCTAATTCAAATTAGGGTTTAAAGGGCGGTGCTACTTCCGGGTGGATCGGGGGAAAAGTGTTTTTATAATTAGGGGTCCCTTTAATAAATGGGGGAAGGGATTACACATTTATGACCGAAACAACCACCGAAATAGATGTAAGAAAAGCTCATATGCATGCCTCAACCAAATTACCGAAATCCCCGTCTTCAACCTGTTTGATATATGGAGGAAGTTTAGGTACAAAGGCCACGATTACAGTAAGTTTCACGACCTGGCTTTGTTTATGGTGAAGCTGAAGGAACAAGCCTTGTTCTTAGTAAGGCACATTGTTTAGTGTATGGCAAGCTTTTAAAATACTACGCCGATAAATGCGAATTCCTTTCCTACAAACAACCTTCCAGGTGAGTTACACGAAACTTAATAAACAGTTTTGGGCAACCGAAGTATCAGACCACTCCCAGAAGATGCTAAAATGCAAATGTGTGTAGTTGTCAAAATTAGGCCCCCTTTTGGGTACCCTAAATATTAGGTGCCGCATTTTAACAAGGACCCAAAAAGGTACCATAATTTTGACAACCACCCATGTAAATGTTGGATTGTTAGAGAAGGGAACGAACAAATCTTCTAAAAGCTTTGCTTTTGACGGTTTGAGGGAGGCGTTTTTCAACAAGAAGTGGCAGGAAAGATTAACAAAATCACCGGACACGACGAAGACGACACAGAATTGGACAACAAATACTACTGCTTAACGGTGTCCGATCGCGTGGCTTTAGGAAATGGCTATACGGCTAGACTTACATAAAGGAGTTACTGCTTCAAATCCATATCCATAACATACAATCGGCAAACATAAGGATAGGAAAGTTATTGAAATTCCAGTTGATGTTGCACCGAAAGCAACGACAGCAGACACCGAAAAGGCGTCACATGCATCACTATATAGGCTAATTCATTCATACGTATAATGTAGTCGTATTCCTTAAGTTGGTACAGATTATAACTAGACTATGGTCTTACCTTATCCCCAAACCTTATGCCTATTGTAGCTATTTTATTAGAGAATACCACTTCCATTTTCTGGTGGTAGGGATTTCTGGTTGGGGAATATGGTTTTTCTATGGGGGTGTGGGTATCTGGGGTTGAGGTTGGTTTTTTTCTATGTGGTGGTGTATGGGTCTTTTGGAGGTTCCATCGTGTAGGTCTTACTGTGGGTATATTTGGTGAGTTGGGGATTGAAATCTATAGGTTGTTATGGGTTTGGGTCTTCAGGTGAGTTATTCCTAGGGTTCTACCTATGGGTCTTGGTTGAGTTTACGGTTGAGGTATAGGTTGATATGTTTTGGGTGCTAGGGGGTGGTGCATGGTTGGAAAATGGAAATGGTCATTGCTAACTCTAGAATCTCTAGAACATGTGAGAGTCCTGCCTCTTGCCCCTGGCTTTGACCTTACGGTTTTGTAGACTCCCGCTTCTTCGACTGCGATAACTGTGATAATCAGGATGGCGACTCTGAAGACCCCGACCGCGATTGTGACTAGGATGCAGGTGAAGGAGGTGATGAAGGTGATGAAGGTGATGAAGATGATGCGATGATGACGATGATGACGATTATAATGAAGCCCCGTGGCTCGCAGGTGAGCGCTCGGAATTCGTGTGCGTTTCTTTGGGTCTTTGTTGTTGGGGATTTGGGGTTCCTTTGCCTTCGGCAAAGTCGATGCCATGGACGACCAGGAGGGACTGCAGAGCGCCGACGCCGCATGACCATGGCAACGGTCCTCCTTCTGCTGACAGTCTGCTGCCTAAGGGCCCACCACCACCGGTGCCCAGGTATCCAGTTGCCAGAGCACCGAGCGCAGAGCCATGCCAGCATGCCTTCGATGACGGTCTGCCCCGTGCGAGGGAGATCGACGGTTCTACGCGCGCATTCAAGGCCCAGATCTTTTTTAGTGGACGCTTCATTGCGATACTTGCAGCGAATCAGGTGGCAGTGCCTGTGGTGGCGGTGGCCTCGGGATGGTGCGGGGTGGGCGAGGGCTGTGGTGATGGCGGCGATGGCGGTGGCGGCAGGGGCGGGATGATGATGTTGATGATTATGCTGATGATGATGATGAAGAAGATGATAATGTTGATGATGATGTTGATGATGCTGATGATGATAAGGACGTTGTTGATGATGATTGTGATGTTGATGTTGATGATGATGACGATGACGGCGACGACGGTGATGCTGATGCTGTGCTGATGCTGATGCAGCTGATGGTGATGGTGGTGCTGATGGTGGTGTGGCGATGGTGGCGATGGTGGTAATGATGGTGATGGTCTGGTGGTAATGATGGTATGATGGTGCCGATGGTCATGATGGTGATAGTGGTGACGATGGTGTTGCTCGAGTTCTCCGTCCTCGCGGGCGCTCTCGATCAGATCGATGAAGTCTATTGGCTCCATGTCGACGCCTTGGCTTCTGATGGCAAGCTTGGGTATGGCTGCAACATGTCGCCTCAAGGGTTTTGCTTCCAAATCATGGTCCTGAATACTTCATCAAAGGTAAGGGCATGTGGCGCCTAGCAATCGTCTCCTGAGCCTCATATGCTTGGGGCAGCCTGCAGCTCGCAGTCGCAGACATCGCAGTTTGATGATGCAGTCGTCAAGCTGAAGGCTTCTCAGGAAACTGCATCTCAAGAACTTCGCGAACTTCTGCGCATGCTCCTGACCCTGTCGAAAGCGCAATTCAGGGCAGAGAGGTTCGCATGCCTTCACTGCTGCTAGCAGCTAGCTGCTAGCTGCCTCATATGCGGGAGATGAAACTATCAACGCTTGAGAAGTGGCACTCATGTGCAGTCGGCCTTTGTGGGGCGTGTCGCTTTCCAACCTGAGGCGGCAAGTGCAGACCTCTGTAGCTACTATCCCGAGCATTGGGGCGAAGGAGGCAGTGAGTTCTTGCGTTTCGCATTCGCAGAAGCCCCCCCGGACGCTCATATAGTACCCTAAATAATAGGGTCCTTATTATAAGGGCCCCAAAATAAGGTACCCAGGACGTGAAGCCTAAAGGTCAACAAAAAAAGTCCCGAGCCCCGCTCTGCCTGAGGCGTCTGAGCTGTCTGAAGACGTTGCCTGCAGCTCTGGGAGCCAAGGACAAATTTCGGGACCTTAAAAACTAGAATAGGGCTTTGGGGTATATACTACTATAAATCGAAGAAGGATCCCCCAAAATATGTCGACTACCTGTAACCTTTTAAAGCTCACAGAGTCGCCGGCTCGCTGGCGTGATACCGAGCAGTACTGGTACTAAGAGTTATAATTGCAATGAAAACACTAAGAACAGCAACAACATCATCGTACTCATCGTCATAATGGTCAGAATGGAATTGATGCCAACAGAAGATGCCTGAAGTTGGTCTGTTGGAAGTTTACAATCACAGAACATAGGCCCACCATCCAAAGAACAGAAACAGCACCGGATCTTTACAGCATCCACGATCAGGCCGCCACCCCTTCGAACTTCCCGAGTGCGTCTGACTCTGCTCAAGTCTCGATGCCTGGATTGCCCAGCTCAAACCTTTCCTTGTGGGTGTCTTTGTTCTTTCAGATGCCGGAGAACCTGGCCCGAAAGTCACCGTGTCATGCCCGGTTCTCTAGCATGCCCTTAACCGGTCGACGGTCCCTCCGCTCGCAGCGGCAGTTTGCGGCACTTTGAGGCCTGAGTTTCCCTCAGCTTCACAGTTTAAGTTTGAGGGTCGGCTGGCTGGTTCTGAATCCCGCTGTAGTTGGGACCTAGCGGGCCTGACGGACACCCAACCTCTCGCGAAGGAACAGTGCACTTCTGGGGTCAAAACCATCGAAACTCAGGATTCGATGGTTCAGGTTTTCGTTTGAGCGACGCGAGGAGGCCTTGCTTTCCGCTGGCAGTGCTTCCTGCCTCAGCTTTCACCAAGAATCCCAGAGTGTGGTTTCTGGTGCTTTTTGGCGCGATCACTGCAAGCCCAGTTGCACTCACGGACGAGGCCTTGCTCATCATCGAATGCGGAGATTGCGTGCTTCCTCGAAAGCATCGGAACTCAGCCCCTGCCCGCACAAGCACTAAGTCTCTAAGTCTTCTTGGCAGCTTACAAACGCAGGGTTCTGGTGACCTTGCCCTGACACGACTACGGCTCGCTGCTTGACACAATGATGAGTGACGTCCAAGCTTACAGTCAAAGCCCCGCGACCTCGAAAGAAACATGCAATGTCAGCCTGTCCTCGGCTGAAGCTGAAGAGCTTGTTCATCGCTCTGTTGCCCGTTTGGCTACTCTCAGTCGGGTCTGCTACGCAGTGACTGTCTGTGGCCAAATTCCTTTCACGCGGCACAAGAATTCGGAGGCCCAGCGCCTGGAAAATACCTTCAGCTGACAAGCACAAGTCTTGCCAGGAGAGTCCCGAATCCACCACCCAGTGCCCAGAAGATGCGATCCGTGAATCCGGCACCCTCGCACACTGACACGAGCATCCGGCTGAGCCTCGCCAGGGTTCCGCCTCAGCTGCCTCCACAGAGAAAGGCCGAAGCGAAGTTTTTTGGAGTGGAATCTCGCGCCGGACTCCCAGTCAAGCAAAGCGAGTCAATATGCTAGCTAGCATGTGGCACCTCAACTTCACCTCATTCAACCTTCTCAAGACGTCGCCCCTGCCAAGGTAGTGTTGAAGATAGCAGGCAAACCGGATCAACTTCTACACTCTGATGTAGGACCTCTTGCTTTGCCACTTTGGTCGACTCGGCTCTC